ATGACTAGAAATGAACTCTTCTTTCCCAAACTGCTGTTTGGATTATCTATGGGTATATAACTACCTACCCAAAACTTAGTGCTTAAAAATTAAAACAACAACTCTGTTATCTCTTGCTAGTCTATGGGTTGACTGGCCATTCCTCTGCATCACAAGGTGTAGCTGGCACTGGGACAGCTGAAGACATCTGGGGGCTGCCTGGGCTGGACTGTCCTAGTTGGCTCACTTCTACAGCTGACCATTGATGCTCAGCTGGGGCTGTCAACTGAAATACCCCTAGGTGCCATCTCCCAGCATGGTGGCCCAGTTCCAAGAGGCAGTGCCCCAAGAGAATCAGGAGGAGGCTGCAAGGTTTCTGATGGTTTAGCCTTGGAAGCAGTTTCAAGGGGAGGAGAAATAGACTGCAGCTCTCAACAGAAGCAGTGACAAGGAATTTGCAGCTCTTATTATTCTACTGCACCTTTTCCCATATACTGATTGTAGAGTTTGCCACCTTTTGCCTTATATTACAATTATTTGTGTCTCTTTATCTCACATACTAGATTTTCAGCCCCTGATAAAAGATTGCATCTTATTTAACCCAAATGTTTTCAATGTAATAGCCACAATAACAACAACAAACATTTATTAAGTTCCTCTACCATGTGCTAATTGAACATATGATCTCTTCTGATCTCTATCCTGACAGGATAGACATTTCCATTGTCCAGATCAGGAACTGAGGCACAGAGAGATTCAGGCTTGCCCAAAGCTGCATAATTTGTAAGTGGCCAGGATTTGAACCCATTTAAGAGTCTATGTTCCTATTCTCTCTATTCTAATGCTGCCTCCCAATCATGGCACTGTCTTAGCAGGTTCAGGCTGCTGTAACAAATTACCATAGACTGGTGGCTTAAACCACAGACTTTTTTCTTCCACACTTCTGGTGGCTGGGAAGTCCAAGATCAAGGTGCAAGCAGATCCCATGTCTGGTAAGGGTCTGCTTCCTAGTTTGCTGACGGCCGTCTTCTTGTAGTATCCTCACGTGGTAGAAAGGGGCTCAGAGAATGCTCTCAAGTTTCTTTTTCTAAGGGCACTAATCCAATCATGAGGGCCCCACCCTCACAATCCCATCTAAATCTAATCATTTCCCAAAGGCCCCATCTTCAAATGCCATCACAATGGGGGGGAGGGTGGATGGGGAGACACAAACATTCGGTCCATAGCAGGCACCAAGGAAATGTGCTCAAGTCCATCTCTGCTGGTGCTACTGAAGTGTTGGGGGCAAAACAAAAGGGAAGGAAGAAAGAAAGCAGTCCCCCAGGTGAGTGGCGGTGCACAGCTGTCAGCAACAGCTGGGGGGGGGGGCCTTGAGTCAATACGTTTTCCTGAGGTCCGGGGCTGGGCATCCTTGGGCAGCCTGCTAAGCGGAGTGTAGAGTGTTTGGGAGCACAGCAGGGAGGGAGGGAGAGTGTTTATTGGGTCTAAGTGCCTGATGAGAAACTTTCCTCCAAAATTCCAATATTCTATCTGCCAAGAAAAGTGCTGGAGGTTTATGGTTCACACCAGCCCAGGCCGAGGACCTACAACTCTGCATTTCTGGCCTGCCTTTTTCCAGCCAGAAGGGAATCTAGATTTACTTGCCATTAGGAGCTAGCCCCATCTCCTTGCTCGGTGAGATGCTCGTTTTAGAAGATTCTGCTTTTATCCTGGGAATATCAATCTGTGGGCACAGGAAGGTCCCTCTCTGTAGAGGAAAAGACACTGAAACCTAAGATAAGTGGAGACTTCATATCTAAAGAGATGGCAAATAAAATTTCAGTATGGTTTACATTAAACAACTTCTTATTCCTCTGTCCCTTTATGAACATAACAGCAGCAATGGGCCAAACGTCTGAAGAACAGCTTCACTTCGTCCTGTGCATGTGAACAGTCAGTGCAAACGGTGAAAGCACATATGGTTTAAGCCTCGCTCTCCTGTAGCCCCTACTCATAGGACTGGCCATTCCCCATCCCCACCCACACCACTTCTCAAGAGCATCGCCTGCAAATGGTGTCTATGCGTGTGGACATTACAGAGCAAGCATGTCTTTGGTACCTCAAGGACATAATTATGCGGCCCTTATGCACCTTGGAAATTAGGAACGCTGTTTCCCTGGCTGTCCGGCTAGCCGACATTCTTAACTCTTTACAATCAATCGAGCCATTCATCATCCCTTAGGAGGGTGAAGTGGTGTGTCAATGTATTAAAAATACTACCTTAAGACCCTAGAAAGTCTGAAATCATGGAACCCTGCCAAACAATAGAGAAATCCTGTGATGGCTAATTTTAGGTGTCAGCTCGACTGCCTTAAGGGATACACAGATAGCTGGTAAAGCATTATTTCTGGTGTGTCTGTGAGGGTGGTTCTGGAAGAGATTGGTGTTGGAATCAGTGGACTGAATAAGGAAGATCCGCCTGCACCCGATGTGGGTGGGCACCATCCAATTGGCTGAGGGCCTGGATAGAACAAAAAGGCAGAGGAAAAGCAAATTCTCTCTCTGTCTCTCTTCTGGAGCTGAGACTCCTTTCCTCTCCTGCCCTGGAAATCAGAACTCCAGTTTCTCCAGCCTCAGAACTCTGGGGCTTGAACCAGGGGCCCCAGGTCCTCCGGCCTTTGGTCTTGGACTGAGAGTTCCACCATCGGCTTCCCTGGGTCTGAGGCCTTCAGACGTGGACGGAACCACGCTACCAGCTTCCCTGGGTCTCCAGCCTGCAGGTGGCCCATCGTGGGACTTCTCAGGCTCCCTAATTGTGTGAGTAGATTCCCCTAATTAATCCTCTCTCATACGGATCTATCATCTACCCAGCTACCTGTCCGTCCATCCACCCATCCTATTGGTTCTGTCTCTCTGGAAGACTCTGAGTAATCCAAATCCATTCTGAAAATACCAACTACAATCATGTGCTGCATAATGATGCTTCAGTCAACCACAGACCACATGTACAACAGTGGTCCCATAAGATTATAATGCTGTATTTTTACTGTATCTTTTCCATGTTTAGATGCATAAATACTTCTCGCTGTGTAGGTTTGTAGCCTAGGAGCAATAAGCTATGCCATACAGCCTTGGTGTGCAGTAGGCTGCCCCGTCTAGGTTTGTGTAAGTGCACTCTGTGATGTTTGTACAATGACAAAACTGCTCGAAGATGCATCTCTTAGAATTTATCCCTGTTGCTTAGTGACACATGATTGTACTTGTGTATTCAACGTCAATCAAAAATGTCACTGGGGCTATCTCAAAGGCAATACTATCCCGTATGGACTATTGGTCCTACTGAATATTCTTGTCCCCTTTCTTCCCCACCACTCACCCCCATAACCATTCTCCACATTGCAAGCAGAGCAAACCTTTAGAAATTGAAATCTGATTGTATGGCCCCTTGCTAAAACACCTCAAAGCCTTTCTAATCATTTAGAATAATATCCAGCCATTTTATTACGTCCTAGAAGGTTCTAGGGGATATGCACCTGCCCACCTCTTTTACCCCTCTCCCTCCATTCTCCCACACTGGCGGCTCCCACCACGCAAGTTGCCTGCTGGTTCTTGAAAACATTGAGTCTGACCCAGCCTCGGGGACTTTGCACTTGCAGTTTCCTCTGCCTAAAATGCTCTGTGCTCTTGGCCTGGCTTTGCTTGTCACTGTGGTTTGAATGTTTGTCCCCTCCAAAACCCATGCTGAAATGTAGTCCCCAGTGTGGCAGTATTGAGAGGTGACAGGGTTAGGAGGGCTCTGCCTCCATGAATGGAATGAAGAATGGGCTAATGGGTTAATGGGTTAATGGATTATCACGGGAGTGACACTCCTGGCTTTATAAGAAGAGGAAGAAAGACCTGAACTAGCATGTTCAGCCCTTTGCCGTGCAATGCCCTGTGCCTCCTCCAGACTCTGCAAAGTGTCCCCACCAGCAAGAAGGCCCTCACAAGGTGCAGCCCCTTGACTTTGGACTGTCCAGCCTCCGGAACTGCAAGAAATGAATTCCTTTTCTTCCAAAGTGCCCAAGTTCAAGGAATCCGGTAAAAACAAAAAAAAAAAAAAAAAACTGGTAAGGAATAAAAAAGAACCGGTTAAAAGGCAACGAAAAAAAAGGCCGGCCCCGAACAAAAGGGCCAAAAGGGCCCCTCACCCCCCTCACTGCTTGTTCATCTCCCACTTTCTATTCCAACACCATCAAACTGCCTGTTTACAGGGTAATTGTTGTCCCTCACTCTAGAAGGTGAGCACCATGAGCCCAGGAACTTTGTCAGCCTCCCTGCTGTGTCTCCAGCACCTTCCAGAGCACTTGGCACATAACCGGAGATTAATAAATATTAGTTGAATGACGGGAGACACTCGTTTCTTATGTCATGCAGGCGTTTAAGAGACGGCATTGCGCAGGGAAGATACTTTGCAATTTAACCTCTCTGCTTCTCATTAATTATTCAATTACCTTCAAAGCTTGGAATTTCAGGAAGATTGAAAATCTTTTTCTTCCATTTGTCACAGCTACACGGTCTCAGGCCTAATCATAGCACCTGTGATTCTTAAACTGCTCACTGATGACCAGTTTCGCTATAGAATTAGCACAGGAGAGAAGCATGTGCAGATTGTTACCGTTGGCATCTTTGCAGATTTTAATTAACGGAGTATTTTTTTTTTCTTTCTCATTCATGGTCGGGATTTTGATTAACTTGCAAGGGGGAGTTTTGTCAGTTAGAGGCGGCAGGGGGCGGGTGCTTAGGCCGGGGAGAGACGTCAGGGCTGCCCTCAGGGCCAGCCGCCTCCCTGGGCGAGCGTGTCTGCGTGCACCCCCCGAGGCAGGGCCAGGCGCTCCGCGGTCATGCTTACTGGCCGCAGTGGGTAACTGCGCGTGCTGAGACCTCTCTGCTTACCAGACATTTCTTCTGTCTGCAGTGCCTTTGTGAACATGGGAGGGGGGGCTCAGGTTTTCAGTGGGTGAGGCCAGCAGGCCTCGCTCTGGCATTCCGTCAGCCGGCACCTTCAGTGTCAGCGTCCGGGCTTCCATCCAGGTCGCCTCCGCGCTTCTGCACGACCGCGGCCCGGACGTAGTTCACCCGCGGAGCCGGCCTGGCGGGCGGGCGCTGCTCGGCCAGGGTGGCAGGGTCCATCTGCCCGTTCTGGTCCCGGCCTGTGGGCCAGCCCTCACCTCTCACCTCTTCCAGACGGGGAGACTTCAAGGCCAAATAAGGCCTGGGGAAAAGGTGTGTGTGTAGACACAGCTTTGCAGGAAGACAGATCTGGGTGTGAATCTCACCAATTGATTTATCCCTCTAAACCTCAATGTTATCTGTGAGATGGGGGCGATCATCGTAACCTGGCTCGCAGAGTTTTTGAGAAGATTAAACGAGACCCTGCACACAAAGTGTTTAGAGCAGTAAACGTTGATTATTTTCGTTTGGGTCAAATTATTTGCATTCAAGTCTACTTGTGGCACCTTAACAAGCTTTCCTCTCTCTGAGACTCAGTTTCTTCATCTGTAAAATGGGAATAATGCCTCTTGTGTTTGTGTGACAATGAAACGAAAGTTGCCAGATAAATTGTCAAGTGCTGTATGAAGGGTAGCTAATTTCACGAACCAGTCATTCACATCCACCCCCAGCCATGAAATTAAATTGAATTTCTCACAATCCCTAAACATGGATAAGTCATCTGTCTTACTCATGAAAAAAAAAACCTGTAGAAATATAAAATGACATGCAAACACTGTTGGAAAGTTAAAAAAAAAAAAAAGAAGAAGAAGAAGCAAATAGCATTAAAATGATTATTGCATGAATGACCGGACTATTGTCCCTCAGGGGAAAATACTTCCCAGTTTGCCTAGAGTAGCAAAAAGAGGGAAAAAAATGTCTGATGGTTATTTCAAAGCTATCTCCCCCAGGGAAATTAAACCTGAATTATGGGGTATTTTTCATAAAACTAGAGTATAAAACTAACATGTAATAATAATAATAATAAAAACCACTATGAGGTGAACCTAAGTGGATTTGGAGAGGATGCCCCTTCCCAGTGTCAGGGCCCTGGACACACAGCATTCCTGACACCGAATTCCTTCTCACTACCGCCTTGCCCGACTTGCACCGGGTGGGCCCTCGGTATATGCACAACAAGTCACCTCACTTGGCCATGCTCCCGTCCCCCTTGCTGGAACATCCCGATACCATCGGCCGATACACTGATAGGCCCTCACAGTCCATGTGGCTCCCACCAGCCCTCCCCAGCCAGAGCGGTAACTGACGCAGCCATAAGGACCACAAAGGCAATGAATGAGGCGTTTTTATATTGAAGCAGCAAATTACTGTCTGTAAGCTAGAGCTTCTATTTTTATTTTCTCAAAAGTTTACACTGAGTGCTTTTTCAGAAACTTGATAACTTGACTTTTTTAAAAGCATCATTGATCTTCTGTCCTGGGGGCAGTTTCGAGCGTCAGAGATCTTTCTGGTTTAAATCTCTTGGGCACCCCTTTCCGAAATGCAGCCCTTCTTTTCCGTAGGGAACCCATTCCACAGGCGTCTGACCCTGCCCTTCCCCCGTCACATGGCCAGAACGGGCCTATCCATGTTCGCTTGGCTCCTTTTCGTAGTGACTGGTTCTAAGGTGGCACGTGATCCAAGCCAAACAAATCAGGCATCTTCCTTGGATCTTTTCTGATGTTGCAATCAGAAGAGGCCACCTCTTTCCCCTGGGGTTGTTAGGCTGGTAAAAATTTCAGTCTGAGGCTGCTAGTAGGCACATGATTTGCTCCTGTCCAAGAGACAGAGGCTAAATAGGAATAGCATTGTTTGGACTCTCGATCAAGCCCTGCCTGAAGCCAGTACAGCAGGCATTGCGTGAGCTAATAAATACCCTTCACTCTACATTTTTTGAGTGATGTTTGAATGGTGATTGTGTTACTACAAACTGAAAGCATTTCTGGTTAATACAGTTAGATTAATCTAATATGTATTAGGGTTTTTTTTTAAATCTTGAAGTATTGATATGATGAAATAAATATGGTATAAAAATGTAAAATAGGGGGTAGCATGCAGGGTTAAGTAAAATAAATATTGTAACATGAAATAAAAATAAAAATTTCCCATTTACTTAACACCTGCTATATGCGGGAGTGGTTTATGTCTTCTTGGTGCCTCCCCATCAACCTACATGTTGTATTACACCCATTTTAGAGAAGAGGAAATTGAGGCTCAGGGTTGCTAAAAGACTTGCCAAAGACCATCCAGGTAGAAGTCAGTGAAGCCAGGATTTTGTATTCAGATTTTTGGCCAAACAACCCACATCTAAAAGATCTGGATGAGATTATCACTTATTCATTCATTCGACACTTACTGGGCAATAGCTATTTGCCAGGCAGGGTGCTAGGCACTGGGCATGTGAAATGAACAACATAGTGCCCACCCTTGGGCTGCTCTCAGTCCAGTGAGGTCTAATGGCCTCATTAGGGTCTTTATTATGGGTTGAATTGTGTCCCCCCAAAAAAAGATATGTTGAAGCCCTAACCCCTGGTACTGGTGATTGTGACCTTATTTGGAAATAGGGTTTACATTAGATGTAATCAATTTAAGGTGAGGTCATTAGGGCAGGCCCTAATCCAATATTACTGGTGTCCTTATAAGAAGAGGGAAATATAGACACAAAGGCACGCAATTGGAATGTTAGAACACCACATGAAGACAGAGGCAGAGATTGGAGCAATACGTCTATAAGCCAAGGAACACCCAGGATTGCCAGCCATCATGAGAAGCCAGGAGAGAGGCACGGAACAAGCAATTCCTAAGAGTTCTCAGGAAAAAACCAACCTTGCTACCACCTTGATTTCAGACTTCTAACCTCCGTAACTGTGAGATAACAAATTTCTGTTATTTTGAGCAATGCAGTTGTTGGTACTGTGTTATGGCAGCCCTAGGAAACTAATAGTCACCCAGGGTTATGTATGTTTGAATATCTCCTAAGCTTCTGCAGCCAGAGTCCTGCCCTCCCCGAAGCTCACCAGTGGGCTCTGCCGGCCACACCTCCCCACCCTCCTCCCCAGAGCTGTGTGAAGCTGCCAGATCCCAGCGGGACCCACCCTCTGTGACAACTCTCCCTTCTGAACACACTCTGGCCCCAGCGGCTGCCTGGGGCCCCACTGTTTGCTTTGGGCAGGCAAGTGCCCAGAGGCAGCGGCAGCTAATGCCAGGGCATCGCCCTTTCTTTACATTCCAAGGCCATTGTGTGTCAGGATACAGGTCTCGTGATTTCTCCCTTGTGATTAATGTTGAAGCCATTTCTTGATGAACTGTCTTAAGAGCACAGTGAAAGTGCGCGTGCGCCCGTGTACACACACACACACACACACACACACACACACACACACAGCCTTTGGTTGCCAACTGTGACAGCACTTTTATCTGACCAGCCCTCACCCCCACCCATTCCTGGGAGTCAGGTAGGTAGCATGGATGCAGGAGACGCACAATGAGGGGAAATAAAGTTGGAATTAATCAGTGATTTGCCTACAGTAGTGATTAACTACAATTTGGGCCTGCTGCCTAGCATTTTAAGCAATGGCCCAGCTTCCTTTAGTTTTCAACTCTCTCACTATGCCAGTAGAAGTCTCTAATAAAATGCTTTCACCTGCTGATGTGTTTGGAGGGCAACATGCCAAACACCATTAAAAATGGTGATGTCCCCAGTAGCTAAAGCTTTCCCTGTGGGCAAACTTAAGCTTTCCACATTCCCCAAAAGGGGGGCGGTGTCAATCATAATTATTCCCAAGTGGGTGTCCTCCTATCAACTAGACTGTCAACACCTCCAGAACAAGGCCCCAGTTTTGCTTTTTTTGATACTTTTAATAATATCTAACAGAATGGGTGCTTCTGGCCTGCTGGTTGGCTTGATTAAATATAGGGGCTTAATCCTAGCCATGATGTCCCTGGCATGCTTTTGTCAGGTATGCCAATTAAGAATTTGGGGACTTGGTGGTCAGCCTGCCTGGATTAGAATCCTGGCTGGCTGTGTGACTTTGGGGAGGTCAGTTAACCTCTCTGAGCTTCAGTCTCTCATCTATAAAATGAGTTGTCAGAATGACTCAATGAGATTGTGGACCTGAAGTGCTCAGCGTTATTAACTGGTGACTGGGAGAGTGGAGACTGACCCAGGTCTGCCTGGCTCCAGAGCCTGTGCCGTTGCCCGTTTTGTCAGCGTGACTTCTCCCGGGTTGCTCTGAAATCTCTCCGCCATGGCGTGAGCTGTCATCATGGAATGCGGGACCAGCAGCCACGTACTGGATGTTGCTAAATTCCTTCCCTAGATGCCTGAGCTGAGGCCCCTGGAACCCCCAAATTCACAGCAAAGGACCCCCATAATACCACTCTACTTGGTGAGCAGGTATCTAGGGAACACTCTTGCTTCTTTGGAAGGAAATAGAAGCTTGCCAAGCTCCCCTCAGGCCTGTCTCCCCGGCTTGTCAAAGGTCCCCGCCGTGAGGACGGGAGCCCCAGGAGAGACCACTGGGCCTGCATTCAGCTCCCTCTGCGCCTCCCCCAGCGGTACCGCTGCCTGTGGTCTCCGCTCAGACCTGGAAACGAGCTCCCTGCTACCCATCTCCATCCTTCCCCTAGAGTTGTCATAACAACGCACCCAAACTGGATGGCTTAAAACAAAAGCCTATTGTCTCGCAGTTCTGGAGGCTGGACGTCCAAGATCAAGGTGCACACAGGGCCACGCTCCAAGGGAGTCTCCTTCCTTGCTTCCTCCAGTATCTGGAGTTTGCCGGCCACCCTGGGCTTTCCTGGGGTAGATGCTTTCCCTCGGTCACGTGCCGTCTTATCCGCACGTCGCCCTCCCCCGCGCGTGTCCGTCTCTGTGTCCAAATTTCCCCTTTTCGTAAAGACACCAGTTATACTGAGTTAGCGCCCACCCTAACAGCCTCATGTTAGCGTGACTACCTGTCGTGACCTTACCTCTACACAAGCCCACGTCCTGAGGCGCCGGGAATTAGGACGTTAGCATATCTTTCTTTGGGGGGAGACACCCTCTGTGATGGTTATTTTATGCATCAATTTTGGCTAAGCCACAGTAACCAGAAAGTTGGTGGAACATTTTAGGTGTTTCTTAGATGAGAGGTATTTTTAAGGCATATTTTAGATGAGAATAGCATGTAAATGAGTCCATTCAGAGGAAAGTAGATTATCCTACGTAATGTGGGCGGGCCCCATCCACCCGCTGAAGGCCTTCTTGGGAAAAGACTGGAAGAAGAGGGAATTCTGGCAACTGAAGGCCTTCTTGGGAAAAGACTGGAAGAAGAGGGAATTCTGGCAACAGAGCGCCTTTGAACTAAACCGAAACCCGACAGAGGAGGATGCCTGGGGCCGCCTCCCCACCCACCCCACCGCAAACAGCCATCAGTCAACCCCCGAACAAGCACTTCTCAGCCTTCAATTTTTATTAATCCCTTGGCAAAGGAAGGTTGAGCAGTTCAGTCTCAGAGTGAATTGCTTTTGAGAGATGACGGGGAAGAACAAGAAGAAATTCCTTAGCACCACAAGCTCACACGGTCCCCGAGGCTGGGCTCGTGTAGAAGGAGTCAGAGTAGAATCGTTCTTTGTTCTTTTCAAGTACTGCACAAAATTCGAAAGTGTTGATCACCTTGTTCATTGTCTAGTTGCCTATTGCTGTGTAACAAACAAAACTGCCCCCCAACTGAGTGGCTCACAGTTCACAACTATTTTATTTGCTTGCAATTCTGAGGGTCTGCTACGTGTGCTGGGCTCCCCTGGGTGGTGCTGCTCGGTCTCTCCTGGAGTCACTTCTGCAGCTGCTGTCACCTGGTCGTATGACTGGGACTAGATGGTTCAGGATGGCCTCACACATCTGGCCGTCGATACCGGCTGCCGGCTGGCCTCCACTCTCAATCTCCACGCAGAGTCTCGTCTTCAAGGCGGCTAGCAGCGGCTCCCTTACCTGGTGGCCCTGGGTTCTAAGAAGGCAGGGTTGAAAGCGGCAAGGTGCCTTAAGGCTTAGGCCAAAATATCAAAACTTTCAGAAGTTGCCAAAATATCACTTGCATTGATTTTGTTTGATCAGGTTACAAAGCCTTCCTAGAGTGGAGGCAAGGAGGAATAGAGTCTACCACTTGATGGGGGCGGAGGGGGGGCGTGAAAAGTCACACTGCAAAGAGACGTTCATATATGGATGTGGGGATGTATCACAGACTTTGCAAAGTCTACCCTGTGCACCAAGCAAATTAACCTGGTAAATGCAGTGCGTCAGCTGCGTCTGGATGTGTCAGTGGAGATGAACACGATACTGATCGGGTCCAGACGTCCCAGGGGACTCTGGATGTCTGAGGACGTTGCTGTTTATTGCGCCATTTGATTGAGAGCCAGGTAGGGAAGGGTTTTGGATTCTGCCTGATTCAAAGTCTAGTCTATAAATTTTTTTCTGTGAAATTAGACATTTGCCTTATCTCTGTTACAGCACCCCCGGAGGCATCTGGTAGGACCTGCTAATGTATGTTCTTAGATTTTCCTTGGCAGAAATTAATTTTTTTCCTTAGAATTCTTTTTTTTTTTTTCTCTTCAAGGCTAAGTCTTTGGGTTAATACCAGAGATCTACAATTTATAAATTTGTTCCTCTTGGTTCATTGTTTCAAAATGAAACTTTTAATGGATTCCAAAGACTTAATAAGAGTGCTGCCTAGACACATAATGAAGTCACTGTGCACGTGGTTGACAGGTAGTAATTTATTATTATCCTTGTCCCTGATAAGAGTTATGCTGTGCACAGTGGGTGCCTAATAAATATGAGCTATAACAACATAAGCAATAGAAGAAAGTTTGTCCTTTTGTGTCTCAATCAACCGTTCATAATGCATTCTTCTATTACCACCATGCCCATTTTCTGTTAATTTTATCAATTATATGTAGATGGGAACTATAGCTGTGTGTGTTTATTACTGTTAGTTTAAATGTTCTAATTTATCCTGCCACTGCATTTCACTTAGCATAGCAAAGTCACAATATTTTTCTGTCCCTGCAGTGAAAGATTGTAGTAAGTTGATCTTGCTAACAAGAGATAATTATTAGCTTCCTCAAGAATATTATCCTATATGCATTACTAAGTGTTCTGGAGGATTAATATTTTTATGAATTTTGGACAAGACGAAGTAGCGGCAAAGCGAGATAGGGCTGTTTTAATATTTGTCCTTGCTCCATTTGCATACCCATCACTGGTAATTTGTTAATGCCACTTGTGTTTCAGTCTGTGGTCACGCGGAGAATTAATGCACCTCTCCTAGCTAAAACACCCAATTCCGAAGTGAGAATGCGGCAAGTCAGAACATTAGATGATTCTGGCAATCATGAGGTTTGCATTCAAGAGCAACTTCTTTGCAGGGTGATGCTTTTCTGAAAAGTCGGCAGTGAAATGGCAGATTTTAAGCACGGTTCATTGATGTTCAAGGGTTTCTTCCTCAGATGAGCAGAGCTATTCTGGCACTTGGAATTGCATAGTTTTTTGTTTGTTTATTTGTTTTGTTTCTGTTGTTGTTAGGAGCATGCAGGGGGAAACAGAGGGTATTTAAAATTCAATAGAGGATCTCTGCCAGTCAGAGGTCGGTCCGTGGGGGCTGGAAGCCTTTGATTGCCAAACTAAGGATCCAAAAGAAATGAAAATCTGAAATTATTGGGGCCTATTTGCACACTGATTGTACTAGACACCCGAACCAACCTGCATATATGCCTATGTTAAAACATTTAATTATTTTCATATATTTCCAGTGATTTCTTCTATTTAGGAGAACTTTAGATAAACCACAAGGAGGTAAATATTGATATAACATTAACTTGAAGCTGGAATTTGGCTGTTATTATCAAACATTTATGAAGTGTCTATCATTTATAAACTTCAATCATTCATCAGTTCAATTTTTTCAATCATCAAATAATTATTGAAGGTCTCATAGGTGCCAGGTGCGTGGCAGGTTTCTAGAATGCCAAAGGAGTTTGCAGGCTAGATGGGGAGCGAGACTAGCAAGCTGGGGGTTTCCACACAGGGGGATTTATGGTAGGCGTCGGCACAGGGCCCAGTGCAGCCAACGTGGCCTCTCTGAAGGAAGTCACCTCGCTGAGAGGGGAGGGTGGAGGTGGAGGGACAGCCAGGTCTTGTGGGATTAAGACCCAGGCTCCGGTGTCTGGACAATGGGGAGGATTGAAGGCTTTAAGAAAAGAAGTGACATGATCGGGCTGCGGTTTTCAAAGCCTATTCTGCTTGCAGGGGGAGGCTGGCTTAGAGACGCAGCTTAGGTAGGGCTGCCAAAACGCAGAGCCAGAAACGGGGCTTCTCGGGCAAGCAATTTCTCCAGGGAGTGCTTTCACGGGAAACGCGGACAGGGCGGGCTCAGGAGAGGCCTAGCCTCTGCCTGACCCCGAGGGAGCTCTGGAGGCAAGGGGGCCTTCGTGACCGCTTAGCAGGCAGGTGCTGCTGTGGGCTGTCCCTGGTGGGAAGGCAAGCCAGGTGTTTCCAGGTGATGGGCGCTTTTCTCCCAGGGCAAGTCTCCGGAGAAGGGAGCAGCTGTGAGCTGTTAGCAGGCAGCACGCATGGCAGTGGGGGGATGGGTGTGGCAGCCCAGGCAGGGTCACCAGGAGAGCAGTTTGGGGGGCTCTTGACATCCTCCACATGGGGGAGATTGCTTTCCACGGCTGGAAAGGAAAGGACAAATCAGTTCCTCTAATGGAAAATGCATTAGGCTTTTTAGAGGGAGCTCCTAAGTGAGGAGGAAGAGCAACAGGACATACCAGCAGCTGGCTGAGGGCAAGACCTAGGCAGTGTATCCACCGACCATGAAGAAAAGAGGCCCACAGCTCAGAATTAATCAGAGGGAAGGGGAGTGGGATCTCAGTGACATTGAGGTATGTGACAGGCGAAGCAGGGATAAGGCTATGCTAACTTTCTAAAAATAAATAATTCTCTCTTGTTTCCTTCGGAGATGTGCAGGGTGATTTGCAAACATTTGCAGGCAAGTTTTCATGGGGCTGAACTGCAGGCACAGCTCCTGCTGACTTCACAGGGAGCTCCCGGGGGACGCACAGCAAGGTGAGACCTCGGTTCTGGGTAATTAAGACTCACGGCTCCCTTGTTAGCAGAAACCTCCGGAGCACATGATTGAAATGCAGCGGGCTCGCGGTCCCGCGGCCATCAGAAGCCCACTCGAGCCATCATTAATTTCGCTAGCCTTCGCTTTCGGAAATCAGAGGATGGCATCACTTTGATTAAGAGGGACACTCCCGCTACAGACACTCGGCAGAGTCAGCCGTGTTGGTCCGTGTCCTCGGAGCTGCTCGCTGACGGTGGCACCGCCGTGCCACGGCGGGTTGGCGTGGAGTAGGAGTTGCCCAGGTCGGCTCTGACTCATTGTCGCTTTCTGAGCAGGTGAAGCTCGCCCCAGACGCTCCACCTGCACTCCTTTCTTAGGTTCTTCTCCTTTTCCTCTTCCCTTCCTGTCCCCGTCTCTAAGACACAAAGGTGCCCGTGGGTGGCCAGGCCTGGACAGGGGGATCTCTCTAGAACACTCCTGGACCCGCCCTTGCGTCTGGGTGATGGAGGGACGAGAAAATGAATTAGCAGGTGCAGAGAATCGCCATGTGCGGGGTGCTGTGTGGCAGCTAGGAAGAGTATGAAGCATTCTGCAACACTTTCCTGACCCTCAAAGAGCTTAAAATCTTCCCGAAGAGGCTCGTCTCTACTCAGGATAAGATACCTACCAACGGCGGTTACCTGCACAGCTTTGGAGCCAGATGACTCTGCCGCACTCGCTGTGTGACCTCAGGCACGTTATACAGCCTCTCTGTGCCTCAGTTTTCTCATCTGTAAGATGGGGATAACAAAAGAACCTACCTTAGTGGTGTATTTCTGAGTAATAAACAAATTCCTGAAAGGGCTTAAAATAGGACGAACAAAGCAACAGACATTGACAGAGCATTCGCTGTGCTAAGTGCTTTTATCATTACCCACCTTTTACCAACTAGGAAATGGTGTCTCAGAGAAGTTAAGCAACTTGTATAAAACCACAAGGCTGGGAAGTGATGGAGTTGGGATTTGTACCCAGAGCTGAGGCACTAAGCCGTTACTCCGTCACGTGTCTCCTGTAAGACAATCGCGAGGGCCGAATGTGTTAGATGCTCGGAGGATGAAGAGCTCTCTGGGAGCCGCAGCCATCACGGGGGTTTCTGCCGAGTCTTTCACTTGTGGGCAGGAGATTCATGCATTCGTTCGGCCGGTAGTTATTGAGCACACAGTACGATCCGCCACAGAGCTAGTAGAGCCACCGTGAGGAATGACGAGTGCTTTCTACTCGCAGTTTAAAGGGGAAGAATAAACAACCAAGCACCAGAGGGGCAGGTGGTGGGCTTTGCAAGGTCAGGAGCTTGAGGAAGGAGTGCGCCAGTCCCTCGCAGATGGGAAGGTGTGGAAGAAGGGAGGGTGGAGGCTGGAGGCCACAGCCTGGGCAGGGGCGCAGGGGCCTGGGACAGCTTCAGGAAACCCTAGGTGTCTAAAAGGCTGACGCCAACGGTGAAGGAAGGTGGGCACGATGGTGAGACACCATTGTAACCAACACCCCTGGAATGCTGGTGGTGTGTTCAGCACTTTGCACAGTCTCTGTTTATTCTTTTCCTGGAGTGGACAGACCACGGCTGGTAAGCCAAGCATGATTTTTACATGATTTTCGTGATAGGGAACACTAACTTTAAACCCTAATCAAGCAAAATGTTATCTTCCTCCCCGAAAGAATTCTATTGTTCTCATTAGTAGTCCTGCATTACAAAAATTGTCCTCAATTAGTATTATTTTTTCAGCTTTTATCGAGGTACAATTGCCAAATAGAAATTGTACATATTCAAGATATACAATGTGATGATTTGATATATGTATACGCTGTGAAATGATTACCCCAATCAAGTTAATTAACACATTCATCACCTCACAGAGTTAATATGTTTTTTCTTTTCATGTGTGGGAAACACTAAAGATCTCTCTTAGCAAATTTCAAGTATATATATATATATAATACAGTATTATTAACTATGGCCACCATGCTGTAATTTAGATCCCCAGAACTTATTCATCTTATAAATTTATACCCTTTGACCAACATCTCCCCATTTCCCCCACCCCTCAGCCCCTAGCAACCACCATCCTACTCTCTGCTTCTGTGAGTTCCAATTATTATTATATTTTGAATTTTGTCAGTAAAAATGTGGATATTTATTTTCTTTCTAGATTCTTAAGTATCTACAGAGAGACTCAGTTTTGCTTCTTAACTTGCAAAACCAGACATATGTACTATCTGGCCCTTTATAGCCAATGCTTGCCAACCCCTGTTCTTCCCAATGCCCATGAGGCTTTATTCCCATTTAAGGATCAGGGAACTGAGGTGCAGAAGGATTAAGTGATGTGACTCTGGGCCCAGAGGAAGGGCGGGTGGAGGCAGGACTTGAATGCAAGTCCCGGGGCCTGATACTCTGGGCCACACTTCCACCTGGCGTCTGCTGAGGTCCAGCGAAGAGACTAACAGCCAAACCAGGGCAAGAGGGGAGGGAATGGAGCCGACAAAACTGCCAGAATGTGGAGATAAGCAAGAAAGAGGAGGTGTCCAGCTAGGGGTCTATGGGCTCCAAAGCAGCAAGACTGGTTTCCCCAGCAGGAAAGAATTCCTGACCAGGGCAGCAGACTTCTCACTTGGATGACTGGGAGCGTTTACAGTGCCGCAGGGAATGCGGGGAAGAGCAGGTCTGGTGGGCTGAGCAGACGTTCAGCTTGGCCAGCTGAGGTGCCTGGAGGTACGCCTGCAGAGACGTCTAGGAGTTGGGTGAGGACGAGGGTCTGGGCTTTGGAGCCGAGTGTAGAGTTGGGGGTCATCGCAATGGACGCGGAAGCCTGGGGAACCGGAGCTGATACAGCAAGGGAGGAAGTCATTCCTTCTGTTCTCGGGACTTGAGAAGTTCGCCTTCTCAGAATGGGGACGGACCAGCTCTTTCTCATCTTTGAAGCTCTGGGGTGGAGGTGGGCGGGTGAGCATGTTCCTAGGTTCATTGGATCCCAAAGAAAGAGACAAGGTTATTTTTGAAATGGGTTATCTATGCCATTGTACGACGTCTCTTGTCTCTCTCACACACAGACATACACAGCATACCAAAAGGATCGTAAAAGATATAGTTTTAAAACCCCAGTGTGTATATTAACTTACACAGACTAATCTGATTAGCTTCGGAGGCTGTTGGCTTGAAGAGAATGAAGATTTCCAGGTAAAAGCAGAGGAAGAATGCTGAGTGTAACTGAGAACACAAGGAGAATTTCCTCCCAGTGAGGATTCAAAAAAAAAAAAAAAAAAAGCCAAAGGAAGAAGCAGTTTCTGATGATGTAATTCCTACCTGGGCAAGTAAAAATCTTTGATTATCTATTTATGCCCTGCCAATCCCAGGGCCCAGAGGAAATCAGACAAGCCTAAAAGAAACTAATTTCCACCACTTCTCCTTTTCCTCTCTCTTGTTTCGTGGTCTCTGTAACCCTGAGGACTCTGCCTGCAAGCACTTCGGGCTGAGGTGGGCACACGCTTGGGCACATGCCAGAGGAGCAGGTGAGACTGGGGAGGAAGAACTGAGAGGAAGGGAAAGAGATGGCGAGGCCACTGCCTACGTGGGGCAGGGCTGCGTCAACCTTGCCAGCCAAGAAGGTTCTTATTGGCCAAATGTTTCCCCAAGAATTCCTGGGGTAAATAAGAAGAAGAATATTAGACCATCTGGAGTTTTACAGGAAGTGAGGGTTTATCAAGGTTATGGGTGTGCCAATTTGGAATGTTTGCCTTGGATTTCCTGGTCTGTAAAGTGTGTGTGTGTGTGCAAGTTATAAAAAGGCGAGGCTACTGCCCGGCCCCCACCCCGGGCACGTCCAAAGTGAGGACTCACGGCAGGACATGGGGAGGTAGGCTCGGGGAGGCTGTGGGCAGCAACCAACTGCTCGTCTGCCCCCACGCCCACTGCCACCCCCAGTCCTGTTTGTCCTGTTTGTCCTTCTCACTCATTTTCAGAAAGAGCAGTATCTGGAAAGTGGGTGCTTTCCAGAAAATCGATGACAAGGAAGGGTTCTACTAGCAGATTAAGGTGTGTCCATCTCAAACACGAATGTGCCCTTCTCCCTGGATAAACAGTGTAGAAGGAGACCTGGGGACACCTGTCATTCCATGAGCCCTTTTCTTGCCCTGGATTTAGTTCCATGAGGGATCATCCAGGAGGCACTTGAAAAACTGCAGCCACACTTTCAGGCCACTAGGGTTCCATGAATAAAGTACCCCTTCAGTGTTCTAAATGGAACTGGAGATCAAACTGACAAGTTCTAGGAGATCCATTAAAACAAAAGCAAGATATAACATGGTCCTGTATCTAATATGAGAGTGAGATTTTCGTGAGATGTCTTGAAAGAGACAAGGCATGTGCACAATACACAATAGCTGCATAAACTAAAACAATTAGCCTCCGTGATTCTAAGGGAGCATATCATTTAGGTGGAGGAGAGATTTGTACATTCACCTCCGAACCTGATTTGATTTGAATATTATCCTGTCATTTATGAACAGTTCCCAAGTGCCTTGTCAGGAAGAGTTGTCTATTAAGCCACTGATAGTGTCATATAAAAATAGCCGACAATCTCAGCTGTGAATCCTTCCCCACTGGTCCTAGCACAACCAGTTTCTGCAATGAGTTAAACAACCGTGCAAACGTGAGCTCCACGTCCTTTCCATGCCAGACTCGGTGCTAACCCCGGGGGTGAATGAAGATTAATAAGGCGTAGCTTGTGTCTGAAAGAGTTCACATCCCAGTAAGGAAGAAGCAAACAGCTTTCAAAAATACTATATACGATAAGGTGAAACCATTAGAGATAAATTAGAAAGGGTCACTCTGAATTGTATTGCTGAAGTATGGTTCTGTACAAAGTGTATGGGAACACAGAAGAGGGGAGATTAACCCAACCTAGGGGATTCTGGGAAACTTCAAGGCGGAGATATTTGCATGGTCTCTTAAGGATGAATAAGAGTTTGAAGGCAACAAGGGGAGTCTTTTCAGCAGGGGAACAACACAAGGGAAGATTTGGAGGCATGACTCTGCCCAGCTAATGGGGAAACAGAGAGGAGTTTCATGTGGCTGGACAGCATGGTGCATGTGACAGGGACAAGGGTGAGGCTGGGAGGGAAGGCAGGGATATTTGGGATATATTCCAGTGTGAATACGAGCCCAGAAGATTTTCAAGCTGGGAAAGGTGCAAAGAGGTCAGTATTTTATAAGGATTCTTCTGATGCCCTCTGAGCTTCAGAGCAGAACTGCTCAGTGAGGTCCATCTTAAATGTGATTCATGGTGTTATCATTATTTTATGCACCAACTCAGAAAATTAATCCATTTCCTAAAGTTCTTTGCTTAGTCTCAAGGAGTGATTATACCTTAGAACAGGGGTCTGCAAACTATAGCCTGCATGTCAAATTCGGCCCACCGCCTATTTTTGTAAATAAAGTTTTATTGGAACACAGCCACGCCCATTCAATTTAGTATTGTCTGTGGCTGATAATTGTGCTATGGCTGATTTTGCAGCAGAGTTGAATAGTTGCAACAGAGACTGATGTGCAACACCTGAAATATTTATGATTTGGTGCTTTACAGAAAAATTTTGCTGACCCCTGGGTTCTCTAAAGTCATTGCTATCTTTCCCATCAGAGCAGAAACTTTGAAGATAACCTTGAAGATTTGCTTCATTGCCTTTTATACTGATCACCTCTGCCTTTATCAAGTGGCCAAATTCAATTCTCTCATCAAGTGAG